GGGCTTTCTTATAAAGCAACAAACTATTTCTCCAGGCTAAATGATGATCCTCTAAATTTGTGACACGCCATTTCCTCTCCAGCTTACGAGTCATCTGCTTTAGGGTACGTGTTTGAGAATTATACCACGGAGTCAGGTACTTCTGATTAGAGACCTTAGTTTTCACTGGAGCTACAGTATGTGTGTGTGTTGTGCACTAAAAAAAATATATATATATATATATAACTTGAATTGATATTAAAATAAATACCTTAACAATTCTGTTTTGCAGAGTTGCAGGGCTCTCTCCCAGACCACAGACTCATAATACAAGTCAGAGCTTTATTTTTAAAAACAAGAAAGTTGTGCTTTCAAAATTGGAGTTCAAGTTATTTTTCCTTCTAATAGTGTTAACATACTACACAGGTCATGAACAAGATTTTTTTTAAATTTTCATTGTAAGTGGGCTAAAGCAGTTAATTAAAAGTAGTCTAACATAAATGTAAATGCTGTAGTTTGATTATTTTAATAAACATGTAACTTGCATGGATTCGATGCTGGCGTGACCACAGTGCACACGTCTGCTGTTGCTCACAGTGGTGCAAGGGACGCTCAGGGAGTTTGTGTGTTCGCTCAGACACATGAAACATTAGAGGGAACATTGCTGCCAGCCTACACTGCCAAACATAGTGCACTGGCCTATATAGCAGGCGGACTGGGCACACCTGAGGATGCTCCTGGGCTACCTTAATTGCCCAAAGGCAGGGAAAACCCTTCCTTGGCGGATATAGTACTCCTGGCCCCAAACCTGGGAAAGTTGTCATGGGGGAATGATGGTTATTACCCTGCAGTTGGCTTGATATCTGCGATTTTGAGGGCTTTTGGACTCACTTTGGCCACAAAACACAGACCCAAGAGGAGAGAGATTCTACGTTCACATGAGTGTGTGGACCTGCAGACTTAACCCTTTAGCTGCCACTTTTCTGTGTTACTGATTTTGTTTGAAGGACACTGTTTTTATTGGCTGCATATTGGTTATGGTATCACACTGTATTTTTGAGAAATGTTAGATGCTACACGGAGGAAAATGTGTATATATACTGTGTTGAAACGAGAGTCACTCCTTTCACAGCAGCAGGTTGCTGACGACATGATTTATAGCAGCACCTCTGGAATCTGTTTGATCCAGGCCTGACCTGCGAGGATACTCGACTGGCTAATGTTTGTTTTCATCTAATGGTCTCTGTGGAGGATTTAGCATCACACAGACAGACATGAGTGAAAATAAAGTAGGATGTGCAGTGATCGCAGGAAACCTTAGTGTTGAGCTCATAGAGTGAAAACAAGTGAGTGACTTACTTAAAGAACTAACTCAAACCCAGCAAACTCAAAGATCAGGAAAGGAGTAAAGGAATAAAGGTCAGACACAAATACTTTTAATCACCTTTCTTCACTGTGAGTACTGAAACCTGTTCCAGTCCTTCTGTGAGATGTACTGTAATACTATACTGTAGGTACTTGTTCTTTTGTGTTTAACAAAGCCATCGGTTGACAACTGACATTTTAAAGAGGATGTTAGTTCATGCAACATGATCTGTTCTGCTTTTTCAGGCAGCAACGCCCACTGCTCTATGAAAACACCTGTGCTTCAGGACATCTTCTTTGAAAACAATGTAGGAACTGTGTGCTCTCCCACACAACACAGAGACCAAAGACCAGGAAACACAACAAGCAAATAAGATGAGTGAGATAAAACTGGTTCCACATCTCTGAGGCTGTTTGTTTAGCTGGGTTTGGTTTTCTATCTGTCCGGGTTCAGACCTGCATGGTCAGAGGACTGGAATGGACAGATTTTAACTGGGAAATATGAAAAAGAGTGGATCTTTGTGTGCCTGGGTAGCCTTAGGTCGACAGTCACATAGCTGATTGTTGTTTCAATTTCAAATGGACCAGTAGAGTTGGGAGACGAGTTGACGCATGCTCAATCATAATGCTTAGCAATTGGCAGAAAGCAGATGCTGTTCATCTGCACATTGAGTGTTTCTTCCTCAGTCACTATGTGTCATAGACCTCTCTGAACTAAATATTTGTTATAAATCTCTGGCTCTCAACCACAGCATGTCTTTTATCCCCTCTTCCTTCCCTCATCAACCGGTCGCAGCACATTCAATTCAATTCAATCCAAATTTATTTATACAGCGCCAAATCACAGCAACAGTCGCCTCAAGATGCTTCATATTGTAAGGTCGACCCTACAATAATACACACAGAGAAAAATCCAACAATCATATGACCCCCTGTGAGCAGCACTTTGGCGACAGTGGGAAGGAAAAACTCCCTTTTAACAGGAAGAAAGAAGAAGACAGGAATGATCATTTTCATGTGTTATTCTTTCTCAAATATTTGGTTTACATCACATCAAAAATCAGCAGCACAATCTTTTACTTTCATTACGTTTACTTCGTTACTTTGTCCTTGTTGCTTTGTTGCCAGAGAAAATGAGATCTGCTGTAGACTGAACACAGGATCACATTATCATTTACTTACTGGTTCAGACCCAGAGCCTTTTTAAAAACTCTCTGAGCATCATCAGCACGTGTGTCGAGGAAAGAATTCAGAGCTTTGTAGGTTACAGCAAAAGACAGACCGGCTGATGCTACAAGTCCGACTACTGGAATCCATCTAACACTTTATTCTGCTGTCATAAATGCAGCTATGCATGCTAGTCGGATCAACACCCTCATGAGGAGCTCTGGAGTTATTTCTACTCCAGCCAGTGGTGACCTGACAACAGCACAAAGATCAGCATACGGCACATCTGTTCTCCCAGCAACAGATGTGCTGAGAGAACATCTGTTGCTGAGAGCTGCTGCTCGAAAGACAGAAAGGGCAAAACTATGAAACACCAACAACTTAACACCAGCATGCAAAAGGTAAAGAACAGGTGACTGAAGAGGTTCACTGGTTGGAATTTGAGTGAAGTTAACTTTATAGACAGAACTCATTTAATCAAAGGTTTACCTGCGTGCTGAGCTGTTGGAGAGATGAAAAGTTCTGCATGAAGCAGTCAGTCTGATGATAGATGAGCTGGTGGAGGGTAAATATCTCTAACCACACCCTCTGAAAACAGCGGTGAAACTGGTTTGACCACAGAGTTGTGGTCATTTGTTTGAGCAGGGATCAGCTGATCATTGCTCAAACAAATGACCTTCTCATTTGTTT